TTGATGTTTCATAAATACGTATTTTTTATTACTTTGGAATTTTTTTTATACATAGACATTTTTTATAAAAAGCATAGTATTTTGTATTATTACATTGTATTGTTATATTTGCATATTATTGCACGTTGTTATATTATACAATTATAGATTATATTATTGTATATCATGACATATTGCATCGCAGCCTTTATTTATACAATTTAAGTAATGCATATTATTATAAATACTTATATAAGAATTTGCACTAACAGTGTTTAACTGTTAATGTTTACTATAACTACAATTTGTATAATAATAATTTGCAATATCTCCACTTTCCATTTCTCCATTGATGTTTCATTAAGACCGACTTATTAATAGGATTGAACATTTTGTATAAATACACACTATGTTATTGTAAGTAATTGCACTGCATTTTCATCGCGTCCATTTTTTATTTGTAACCATTTACCTACAAGCATTCAAACTGCACTGCTCTGTTCTGCGCTGCACTGTGTTCTCAAGTTTCACTACTTGCAAATAAACACTGAAAAGGATCTGATCGTTTGAGACCTCTTGCTTTTGGGTATGGATGCAAAACACACCTATGGCTAAAAAACAACCCACTTGTTAAATGTTTGCTTAGAGTGTATTGTTGATACAAAGAAATTGTCAATTCCATATTGAGCATCAATCTTTTCTTTAATACAGTAATTCATAAACACCAGAATAAAGTGGTTGACTTTAAGGTGTGGAAGTCCAGTGTAGTATTTCACTTTGACGGTGTCTTCCTTCAGGAAATCTTCATCCATTTTTCTCTGGCCAAGCTCACGTTTCAGGGTCCTGTTCTCCTCCAGCAGCCGGTTGATTTCAGCACGCCGGCGGTGTCTGCTCAGCTCCATCCTCAGCTGGTGCTGGTGTCTCCACTATGGATAAAATAAGGACATCTTTTAGCTAAATGTGCATCATGCAGCTGAAAAAGCCACAAAAGCAACATACGGTGTTGAATCTTCTGGCTCTGTAAGGCTTACCGGGTGGAACAAGGTCATCAATAGCTGTCTCATCCTCGCAGGTGTACTGTCAGTCCTTTGCCGTTTTCTCTTTTCCTGTCTCTCATAGCGTGCAGTCTGTGTGGCCTTTATCTCAGTGTGGCCCAAGTGTAGTGATGGTGCCCAATCCGGATGCGAGGTGTACATTTCATTTGCTGGTTTTCCTGGTGACACAATTTAAAATTATTATCCACAGCAGCAGTGTTGAACACATATAGAACCATAATGTTATCAATGATCCTCAATATACACATTATTAAATTGTATTATATGATTACATTACATTACAAGACGGCTGGTAAGCGCTAGGATCAGCAAAATTTATAAGTGGTGCTATGACAGCTGTCAACCTCAGGGTTTTTTTTTGAAAATGGAGAGGGATGTCCCTGTCCTTGTAGGAACTGGCAGTGTGTTCTACCAAAGAGGATAAAATGCTATATCAACCAACGAGGATGAAAATGCTATATCAACAGTCTCTGGGCGCGCGTTCATGCATGTATGTGGTGCCACGGATGAAGGAAGGAAACACTGTAGGCTATAAAATAAAACCGTGCATCTTTAACTTACCAGAATGAAAATGCAGGGAACACACTCGCATTGACATCAGGATACTGTGGAAAGTTCTGTTCTGTCGTCTTACAGCCGCGATCCAAGCTAGCCGACGACTCTTTGTTATCTGTGAAACTTGGTCTCCGTGTTTGCGCCTCCAGGCAGAACAGCGGTGGAAAGTTATCCCATTTTGTAGGTTTTTCCCTCGGCGATCATGTGATGCGCTGTTACAGCCCACAATACAGCAACGGTTTACCATGGTTGAAATCAAGTTACGGTGAAATTAAACGAAATAAAACACGGCTGAGAGGGAGAATACAGGCAATAGTCTAAGGAAGCCGTAAAGTGCGCCGTCAACATGGTCACGACGACCAAGCCCTATTGCGAGGTAACGCAAAAGGTTTTGCGAGGGAACGCAAAAGTTTTTGCGAGGGAACGCAAAAGTATTGCGAGGTAACGCAAAAGTATTGCGAGGTAACGCAAAAGAAAAAAAAATTCCCCATGTCCCCTAGGGGGCTCCGTACAATCCAACCTCTACTTCAGAAACGACCGACTTTCCAATGGTTTTTCATCGGTCACGCATACACTATGAATTACGGTACCAACCCTGACTTGGAATTTTCAAAACAAAACCGACAATTTTAACGTTTATCAACTGGAATAAGTTATGATTCACACTTCTCTAGTCTAAATTTGAATATGGATATATGAATATGGTTTTAATATACTTTTTTTCAGTAAGTGTTTTACATGGTAATTTGTGCACTTTATTTTTGAGTGCCCTTTTATTTTATCTAAGTTTCAATTCAGGGAGTACAGTAGGCACCCCTGCATCCTTCTTACCAGAGGTAATCAAGGTCTGATGAAGAATTTAAAAATGAAAGCCCCTCAAAATCTGTACAATTGGAGATTTTGTATCTATTTTCCATGACTATTGCTAAGAAATCTCCTGTTTCCAGTTATTAATTCCACTTCAGGATGAAAGTAGGACACCCCTAGATACTTTTCACCAAAGCTAATCAAGGTCTAAATGGTAAAATAGGTCACTTTTATCTAGTGATGATAGAACACCCCTACATGCTATATGATTAAGATCTGTTGTCAAATTTCAAAATTAAAGCCTCTCAAAAATAAAATTAGCATTTTTTACAATGTTTCTGTGACCATTGCCCCCCCAGTTAATGATTTCACTTAAGAGTGAGATTATCTCATCCAATATCATGGTCTCCTGTGGTATTTCAAACTTTAGTTTCTCAGAGCTTGTAAAGGTGTTCACTTTTATCTATGTTTCTGTAAGTACTGCTAAGAAACTCCCTATTTCCAGTTACAGAATTCATTTCAGGGAGAGAGTATGGCACCCCTACATGCTTCTCACCAAGGTTAAGGTCATAGTTTAGTTTCAAAATTAAAGCCCCTCAAAATATGTGATATTAGTCACTTTTCTCTGTGTTGCTGTCAATATTTCTAAGAAACTCTCTTTTATTTAGTTATTGATTTCATTTTAGAGTGGCAGTAACAAACTCCTAGATGCTTCTCACCAAATATCATGAAGGTATAATGTGGGATTTCAAAATTAAACCCCTTTAAAATCTCTAAAATTTGGATATTTTTTGTGTTTGTGACTATTGTGAAGAAACTCCCTGTTTACTGATTTCCATTCATAGTGACAGTAGGGCACCCCTAGATACTTTTCATCAAAGTTCATCAAGGTCTGTGGGATCTTGTGGGATTTCAGAATTAAAACCTCTTAAAATCTGTATTGTGTTTCCATGAGCATGGTAAAGTAAAACTTCCACTTCCAAAAGGGGTAGCTGAAAGTTGGTGGTTAAAGTTCTGGGTTCACTAATTTAGTTTCATTTTGTTTAGCTGTATTGATGTCCAGGTCCTTTTTTAGCTTCTGGTTATTGGTCCAGTTAGTCCTTTTGCAGGAGGACCGTAGCTTTAATACTTCTGGGCTAAATCTAAAACAGAATTTCAGGATTAATCATCAGTGGTGTCCATTGTGTCAACAGGCATTCTAGCCATTTATCCTTCATACATTTTCAAATTAAACATAATATCTCAAAGCTTTAGATGTATTCTGTAAAATAAATAAATGAAAAATTAACTTCGCAAATCACTTCTGAATAAAATAATAACTGTAGGGGATCAGAAAGCCTTTTTTTTTTCTTTTTCAGTAACTGGACCCGTGTCAAAACTACCCTCTCCAGGACATTAGAAAATATCAAACCTTTTCTTGCTCTGTTTTTAATCACTTAACCTGGGCCATTCATGATATACAAATTAACAACTTAGATAAAAGTGACCATATTTAGAGTTGTTTTTTTTAGATGCTATTGTGAAATTTCACATTAGATCTTAATGACATTTGTAGATATCATAAGCAGCTAGGAGGACATAACTGCTTACCAGTTACTAGGGCTGTCCTACTGTCATCCTGAGCTAAAATCAGTGATTGTGAACAAAGGATTGCTCACAAATATTTATAGAAACAGATAAAACTGATCTATTTTACAAAATCTGAGAGGCTTTAATTTTGAAACTCAGCATCAGATATGGATGACCATTGATGATAAGCATCCAGAGGTGCCCTATTTTCACCCTGAAGTCAAATGGGTGACTTGAAACATTGGGCTTATCAGCAATATTCACACTAACAGGGGGCTTCTCAGCAACATTGACAGCAATTTAAATAAAATAGACATGTTTTACAGAGTTCGAAAGGCTTTAGTTTTGAAATTCCACATTAAACTTTCATAACCTCTGGTCAGAAGTGTCTAGGGGTGCCCCACTGCCACCCTGAAGTGAATTCAGTAATTTGAAACATGGAGATTCTTGGTGATATTCACAGAAACTTTTTTTTTTTTTTTTTAAATCCCCAATTTTACAGATTTTGAAATGCTTTAATTTTCCCACATCAACCCTTTATCACCTTTGGAAAAAGCTGCTAAAGGTGTCCTACTGTCACCCTTAATTGAAATCAGTAACTGGAAACAAAGTTTTGGTTTAATAACAACTGAAACTTAGGTAAAATGCATCAGCATTCTAAAAGAAAGTGCACAAATTAACCATGTAGAACACTAACTAAAATCTTTATCACATATCCATATTCACAGAAACACATAACAAATAATTTTTAGACCAGAATATGTGTGTATGTACTAGTTCTAGTTAATAAACGTTAAAATGATCGGTTTTACTTTGAAAGGTCCATGCCAGGGTTGGTACCGTATTTCATAGCGTATGCGTGACCAATAAAAGGCTGGCTTGACTTTCGTTTCCGATGCGGAGGCTGGCTTGACTTCAGTATTTCACCGAGGAAAGGACACAGTGTCAACAAGTAGGAGCAGCATGTGCAACGTGTGATGTGGACGGAGGTTCAGTCAATGGCTTCTGCAGTTTTATTTATGGAGTAAGCGCGAACGTTACGAAATGGAGCCCTCAAAGATGAAGCCAGATGAATTAAGGGATAGATAGGTAGATAGATAGATTATTTATTTAGGGCATTCAGAACTAGGTATCTATAAAACCTCATATTTCATACCCTATTGGGTAGATACTCATGACGCGGTGATTATGAGCACATCTTGGGAGTAAAAGCGGCGGAGCGGCGGTCCTTATAATATTTGCTCGCTAGATGGCGCAAGTGATCCAGTTTCCATAGGATTAACGGCACATTGCAGATTGCATCGTCCTGTATTACAGTAAGCAACAACAAATCAACAAGATGTGAAATGGCATTCAAAGGCACAGCGGTCGATTCAAAGGTAGGAAGCAATAGATTGTGATGTGCTGCTGTTTGCGTACAATCCTTGTGCTGAAGTGTAGGGCTGGTTGTATGGACAGAGGGAATAATACGCAGTAATAGCAACCCGTCCTGGTTTAGGATCATGCGACATATTTGAATGTTTTGATTCGTTCATCGGTTCAGCAGCTGGCCAGCTGCTGCCAATGGGTTAGGATCCCTCTCTGCACAGCAACCTTCTAAAATGTGCATGCTCAGCTTCAGGTCAGATTGGCAGGAGGCATTGCTGACTGGGATTGGGATTGGGATCTTGTTAATAAATAAGCCTTGTTTTTTCTGTCTTTCTCCACCACAGACCGTGCTGATCAATCTGCTGCTGTGTCTGCTCATATTTTATTCCCTTTTCTACATGATCGGGAGTGTTTGCTTCGGAGCTTTCAGGTAGTAGAAGCGTCACACGCATGCGTAAAACCACAAGCCCAACCTACTTAATATAGGCAGCTAAGCAGCAGTGAGGCTCCTGCATGCTCCCCTTTTTGCAAAAAAGACACATTTAATTAATCAGTTATTAAACAGGAAAAAAAGGAAATTAATCAATGTTAAAACAGGTTAGTAAAAAAACAACAACAACAGCAACAACAGCGTTTTAGTTAATTTAATATATAAGGTCTTTTTATGGATCTTTGCCTCACTTAACTCACGTTTTGCACAGCAGCATCTAAATGCCCTATTAGATTATTAATTTGTTGTTACATATATATTACCAGTAGAAACCCCAATAAAGGTATGCCATTAACTAAAATAATCTAGTTACCTAATATCACCCCTAAAATAAGAAATAAAAATAATAATAAAACATAAAACTTTTCATTTGAATAATATTATTTTCAGTAGGAAAAAAACAGTTTAGGGCCTTTGTTTTAATATTGTACCATATACTTCCGATAAAGACTTAGACAGATTTTATTTGTCATTTTGTTTACACCAGTTTAAAACAAAAAGAAATTTCGTTTGGAACAGCTCTCTGGAAATTTTCATCTTTTTTTTAAAGTGCAGCCTTGAAAAAAATATATTGGAAAAGACATCACATTACCTTTTTGTGTGATATCTCACAAGGCTCAGGCATAAAGACAGTGGCGTTAACTAGCTATACATTTTAAGTTCAAATTAATTGTTCACTCGTCAATTCCACCTATTTTTATTCAGAATCCTCTACAGTTTCAAAATATTGACAAATCCATATTTTATCAAGTTTCGGAGGGTTTTTAGAGAAACAGACCCTCATCATCATAGATCCTCCACCTTACAGTAAGTGTGAGGTGATTTTTATTTTATTTTTTTCATTTTGAACCTTTTTTTCAGATCGGACCCATGTTGACTGTTGCTGAAAAGTTAAGCATAAGCTGAAATAGATAAGATAAAAAAAAAAAAGTAAATACACAGCATTAACATTTAACGTAAAGGGAAAGTTAGATGTATTTTCGCCCCAGATATGTGTTTCTTTTAACAATTATTTCTTAAGATATCTCTTAACAAAAAGAAAACAATTTTCCCCACCTGATAAATTTTCTATAATATGATTTCATTTCGTATTTTTTCCACCTTAGATTATGACAAAGTAATAAAAGCTTAATAATATAGGGTAGGACTAAATGCGGCTTTCCTTTTATCTCATTAAAGATGGATTTTTATGTTAAGGTAGTCATAATACTATGGGATATTATGTTTAATTTAATTTCATTCCAGTTTCTAAATATTGTAATTTATTTTATTAAGTTCTCCACAAAATTAAAGAAAAATTGACTTTGTCAACACGGACAAGAAAGAAAGAAAAAAAATCTGTTTGAACAGAAAATTCTTTTTTTTTTTTTTTAAGATATAGTTTCCTTTTAAATTTGAATTATTTTTTGTGGCAAACATAAGCATCATATTTTTAAAATTATTTTTCCTATTTTTGTTATTGGTCTACCCTTATTACATATTGCAATTTAACAAAAGTCAGTATGGATTAAAAACAATAATCTCAAAAATAGTAAACAAATAACAGGGTATAATAAATAAAAATAATGTGAAATTGAAAACAAGCAAATAAGATCCTTCTGGAATCACTCATACATTGTCCATATTTCCCAGTCTTTTGCAAGTTTTTATTCTTTTGTGTTAATCGTGTGAGTCTTTCCATTATTTATAAATATATATATTTAAGAGTTATCAAAAGCCATTTATAAAGTAGAGTGTTTATTGTAAAATACTCTACATACTGAGATCTATTTTGAGTTTACTGTAGATGATAAAAACAGAAGACTTTCACTCTTAATGTTTCCTCATAGATTGGATCAATTTGACGGGCTGATTCCTTTTGATTTCAAAACTGAACCTGCTGAGTCCAACTCCAAATACCTGGGTGGGCACATGACATGAGGCCAGTATGATCATCTACGGCCCTGAGGGTCCGATTTGTATACATGATGGATTTCATCACTTTTCTTCTCTCCTCCAGTCAACCTTCTCTCCTTGGAGCTCACATACTTCTGTAGTGGTATTCTGTTTGCTGCGGTGGTGAGGAGGAGGGTTTGGGACTATGCCCTCACCGTCACATTTCTCCATGTAATAATCACCAGCCTGGGTGAGCAAGAACCCTAAACTACATCTACCTGTTTGCACACCTGAATCCCAAAACCTGTAGTGTGATGGCATGTTTTGCTTCTACTTTGCAGTGATGTTAGAGTTTCCTACAGTATGGCAGTGGTGGCTGGCTTTAGGTGAGAGCAACAAATTAATCAAATGATAAAAACCTCCCGCCTCAGTGTTCTTTATTCATTTTCTGTCTTACTTTCTCCACAGGAAGCGGCTTGTTTCTGATGATTTGTAACGGTCAACTGATAGCTTACTTTACATGCCAAAGCGAGCAGAGCTATGCCACCTTCAGCTACTACTGACAGGCCAGAAAAGCAGCTAATTAGTTTACAATCAAAAAAGTTAATCTATCATTTGTATTTATCCTGTTGACTTTGGGACACCAGTTGATTTAACTGAAATAGAAAACCTAAGGATTTTTTTTTTTTTTTTTTTTTTTTTTTTTACAAATTACTACTTTTATAAACTTTCTGTTTCCACACGACGACATTCCAGACATTTACGCAACCATAAGTGTTTGTAATCAACCCGTTTTTCTTGTTAGAGACAAAAATACTTTTTTTTTTCCCTAAGCAACTCACTAAAGGTCTGCAGCAATATGTGGGGAGAAAGGCAGCTCTGTATTGTGTTCTTATAATTCAGTCATTGTATCTTTTTCTCAAGTATCTAAATATACATTTCAACAATTTACAATATTGCATAAGAGTGCAATATTTTCTGCCTCTCATAAAAAAAAAATGATACACAGATTCAAAAATGGCAAACCATTATTTCTTGCAATTTAGATTATTGTAGCTACAGGTAAACAAATCCCCAAATTGCTTATTTTCAATAACAACCCACAGGTGATCTACAGGGCTCACATCAAGGTAGTTCACTGACCAGAGAGGAACAACATGGTCATCAAACCAGCTTTTGGTTCTCTAGGTAGTGAGAGCAGACGTTTATCAGAAAAGAAAATCAGCATCTCCACAGCAGAGAGAAGCATGAATTGTGCATACATTTTCTGATAAATGGCTGCATGATTCCCTGGTAATTTCCTCTTTACCTGTAAGTAATACGCATCACAGTTATAAGAAACAAAAAGGAAACAGCCGGCAACCGTGTTGCACTTTAACACATATTTTTTATTGCACCTGTAATTAAAAGGACCTCAACCCTGAAAAAAAGTTTGCCATAACCCAATACCAGTAAAGTACCAGTTTAGTCCTTGCCTAGAAAAGCCAAAGGAAGCCGCTGACACTAACTCTGATTTAGGAGTGACTTTACAACAGGATATGATAAAGAGTTGTAGCTCTTGTCCTTCATACCGTCTATCTGTGGTGGTCCTTTAGAGGCTGATTCCAGTTGCAGCTCAGTCTTTAAATATTCCCCAAATTCTTAAATGAGCTTTTCTGCACAACCACCATTCAAGTGCACATAATCTATCTTGCACTAAATATTGTATTGATACACTTGGACGCAGCAGTATGGAAGCAGCTCACCTCTTTAACAATCCTTATCGGGTTACACCTGTGGAGGTCAGTTGTCTTCCCCATGACTGTGTAGACCATGCAGGTCCGTCCTTTTATCAAAGTTAGTTGTGTGGAGGCAGGAAAACATCTTCATCATGCTGGACAATAGTTGAAGACCCCTGGTATAAACTATGGCATTTCTGTGCTGAAAATGATTTTTATTGGTCTTTTATTTTTGTATTTTATCTAACTGCAAGTCATAGTCATCAGAAAGAGTATCCCCTTGTGTGATAAATCTGTTTCAATTTCTGAAACAGCTGAACTCTTTTGTCACAACCCAAAGTAGATCCTGTTTGTATTTGTTCTAAGAATAGCATTGAATTGTTTTTCCATAAATCCTGGAGCTGTCTCTATTTTGCTTATCATGTATTCTGCTTCCGTCTCAAAGTATTCAGTGTTAAGAAAGCCAGTAAGATATGCTGTATTAAGTGAATGTATTTGTAAAATGGGATCTGTGCAATCAAAACTATAAACATATTTTAAAAATAAACCTGTTTAGACCTGCGTTCTTGTCATCCCTGTATACGAACCCTCTCTGGTTCAAGTTACATAAAAGATATTTGAAATATTAACCTGACTTTAACCAATAAGCAACTCAAACTGAGAAATCAGTGAAAATTTACAAATGTCACAATTTATTTAATTGCAATTAATAAAACATGCCATTTTAGGGCATATGTATTCTGTACAGGTACAAAAAAGGACAATCCAATAAATAAAATATAACTTAGTTAATATTTAAACCATCATGCTCCCAGAGGATGTGATGGCATTATGAAACTGCCTCTGCTGCCATGTACTCTGCCGGGTTCATGAAGGAGAATCCAGGAAATGTTGCGCCGGCTGCAGCTGCTTCTACCCTCTCGTTCACGGGAACAGGGACAGGCTGCTGCGTAAACTCAGGAGCGATGTAGCACACGTCACAAGGACCCGACTAGAAAAGAGAAAAAGAATCAAACCTGCACCTTACAGATAGAAGTTCTGTTCATTCTCTGAATTCTTCATACCACTCTAGGGATGAACGGAGGCCTCAGTTTTCTGGCTACCAGGTCGTCCCAGTTGATGGAAGCAAAGAAGTAATGCCCCTTCAGCTCCTCCTGAAAACACGACATGAGCTCCTGTTGAGCTGCGCCTTTTTACACACTGTTATTTCTCTATGTTCTGTTCGCACACTTACAACGTCGAGCCTCTGGCCTAACCGCTTGGAAATGTTTCTTTCTAACAACCCCTTTAATAGGGAATGGGCACCTTTAGACAGGCCGCTGGGCAGCCGCAGTGGAGCGTAGAGGATATTTTCCAACATCTCCAGTCTGCTGCGGCTGTAAAATGGAGGCTGGGAAGAGAAAACAGGATGATAGGGTAAGATCAAAAGGCAGAGGAGGGAAGTGAACCCCACGCCCACCCTGAGGCACTTTAACCCAATGAGACTGACCAGTCCAGACAGCATCTCAAACAGCACAGCTCCAAGTCCCCACCAGTCCACTGCTGGGCTGTATGGCTGGCCCAGCAGAACCTCTGGAGCCAGATACTCTGGGGTCCCACAGAAGGTGTGAGTCATCCCACCAACAGCAACTCCTTCTTTACAAAGACCAAAGTCTGTCAGCATCACGTGACCCTCGCTGTCCAGTAGGATGTTTTCGGGTTTGAGGTCTCTGTACAGAAATACATACAGATGAGATGTGCGTCCAGTCTACAACTAGGAGAAGAATTTAAAACTCTGAAGGTAATTGTCCTAAAAATTATTAAGTAACCCAACATTTATCAGGCAATAAGTTATTATCATTAGGCTCAATTATTCAGTAATTTATGTTTTTTTCATTCAAAAATTATATTGATATATAATTTTGGAAAAATACTTAAGCTGTTTTTATTTTTTCATGTTCTGTTCTGTTCTAATCAAAACATTCCAGCAATATTTCACTTTTACTAAAATACAAAGTCCTCGATAGAAGGCATCCATTTCCCTGAACAAGTTCTTCAGACTAAACTATAGTTTATATAAAGGACACAATAACCATTTAGGTAACTTATTTGGCAAATTAATTGGTTTAAAATAAAATAAAAAACTGTTTTCAGGGATTTATGTGGATCTATATTCCTACCAAGTATATCTGGTACATTAGCTACCATTTGGTTGATTTGGTCACAGGTGGGTAGAATACCCAAAATTTGAACTAACTAAAAAAAATAAATAGATAAAATTAAAAAAAAGTCACAGGTAAAAGTAAAAAACTATTTGTAAAAATGCTGCTCAAGTACTGAGTAACTGATTACGTCTGATTCACTATTGCGTGCAAAATTTGTAAAGTTAGGTCCAGATTCTGGAATTTGAAAGATCCCAATTCCCTATAACTTTGCATTTAGCATCAAATAATACTATAATAATATGATTATAAAACAAATAAATACCATGATTGATAATAAATCTAGGCAAAAGAAACACTTTATTTTCTACTTTAAAATGAAGAAAGCTAGTCCTCCCAGTAGGTAATGTATACATGTTATTACAGTTTCAAATACCTCCAGTAATATTTATCCTTTAATATTCAGGTCGATCAGATATTGAGTTAACTTTTTGCAGCGAAAAAGGAACACTGATTTAACACAAACCATAACTGTATATCATTGTATGGAGTGCTTTTATTTAAAACAGACGACAAGTTACTCACAATGGATGGAGACCAAACACTCAAAAAGATATTATTCATAGTAAAAACTATGATGCATTAAAACTACTCCTAAATATATATTATTGTCAAAAAATTTGTAAAGTTAATGTAACTAGTTACTACCCAACTGTCATTTTACTTATTTTTATAATTCATAAAATTCTAATATTTATTTCATATCTGTTTTTAACCGTTTTCTCACCTGTAAACGATGCTCAAAGAGTGAAGGTAGCCGAGTGCAGCTGCTATCTCTGCCGCATAGAAAGCAGCTCGGGGCTCTGAAAATGAACCCTCTCTCTGCAGGTGGTAGAACAGCTGAAAGAAAGGGTTTAACAAACAGACATGAAGGCTCCCTGCACATTTTCAGACAGTTTGTACATTGGATTACTTGAATCCACATACCTCCCCTCCATTTACAAAGTCCAGGACAAAGTAAAGAGTCTTTGGTGTCTGGAAGGAGAAATGGAGCCCAACTAGGAACGGATGTTTTAGTCCCTTCAGGAGTACATTTCTTTCAACCATCACATGCCTTTGCTGCAGACAGATAACCAATTAGATAAACAAGCAGACATCAAGATGGAAAAATATACACCATAAAACAAAAAGACAAACCTCTTCCCTCTGGATGATCATCTGCTTGTCCAGAACTTTAACTGCGTAGTAACCTCCTTGTTTCCTGTGTCTTGCCAGCAACACCTGTTATATACGTCATTTCAGTTATTATTGCCAAACTTTTATAATAAAAAAAATAGGTAAATGGATAAAAATACCTTTCCAAAGCTTCCTGTGCCAATAACTTTGAGGTAGTCAAAGTCTGATGGGTTCACCCTGATTAAGACATTGGCAGAAGATAGTTGAAAGAAACAAGAAATAAATTAATTATTTAAAGAGGTGTATACAGATAATATTATAATAAAACTAAATTAAGCCAAAAGATAAAATAACAGTTTTTGTTATTCTAAAAAAAAACATTATAATACTAATCCCATAACCTGTGATGTGGGCTCACAAGGTTAGGAGACAGTTAGGGGACCTTCACTGCACCTCTAAATTGACTAAAAGAAAGGGTTTCTCTACAACAGTTCTTTTATTAAGAATACTACTTTCAGAGGGGCTTGACTCACTTTGACGTTTCTGTGTTCACTGGCCTCTGAAACAAAATAAGACACAGAAGAGGGTGGGGGTTAGAAGGCGGGGTTGGGTTTCATTCCCTGTCTACACCACAGCAGTG